TCGCTGCGCGCGTACTTTCCAAGATCGCTTAGCGCATCGATTTCCCCCACGTCCGCATTATGCCTTTATAACCCGTAAACATTTCTAAAACGCGAGGAGTTGGAATTGGACGCTCGTCGGAATAAGAACTGTTTAGTCTCTCCCTGGAAACCCCCCCCCCCCCCCACCTAAGGACTTGTCTTGGAATTGGGCGCTCGTCGGAACTGGTACCACACATAAGATCTCTCTCCCTCCCTGGAATATAAAGGTACACAAGGAAGTCTACGCTGGAATTAAGATGCTGGAATTAATGAACCACTATTATTAAGATGCAGGAATATTCTAAGTCCACCTCTCCCCCTATGATGCTATGGAATTAAACTAAGACGGAAAACTCCCAAGTCCCATAAAACCCAATGAATCATTGTCCTTCACTTTTTACATGTATTCGAATATAATAACGACAATCGTATAAATTTATTAAGTATAACTATGAGCACAAGGTATTTGTGACAGTGGTGATATAAAGATGTAAATATTTGAAGTACATGCATTAATAAAAGTTGACCATTTCTTTTGCCTTGAAACTGAAATTATGAGTCTATAAACACTTTGTCTTTCTTCTTGACTGGTACTCCTTCATAGTCGTATATTTCGACGAAACGAACGTAAATAAGTATTGTAGCTTCCCCCGTCTTTCCTCAAATATAAGATAAGATCTAATTACTCTAACCGCTCGGACATTTTAAATAATGTCGGCTGACGAATATCCTGACAGATATAAAGAATCAGTTTCCCCAGCTGGGAATGAGAATAAACCCGACGTAGAGGTCGAGGTTGGAGACGGAGGCGGGGGCGGCCGCCACAAATTTGGTGTCAGAAGTGGGATTCTTAATATGGCGGAGGTACCAAAGTCTAAGAAAGAAATAGATGAGCTAAGTTGCTCCTCAGATGAAACAATGTCTAGTACAAAAAGTTCAAAGAAAAAGAAGAGTAGGTCAGAGAAATTACAAAGTCGGATATTAAGCCAACTAACGAAGTTAATGGGGCAAATGATGAAGTTGAAAAAGAAACCAAGGAATAGGCGTGGTGGCCCAGACTCCTCCACGGAAGAACTATCTGATTCTTCAGATGATGAAGTGGAATTCAACCTCAAACCAAATAGACGACCGGAATTAGGAATGGAAATCCAAAATGGAGACGAGGAAGGAATATCTCATGTCGATGAATCAAAGACGAGGAAACATAAGGAAGAAACTAACCAGATGAAGGCACAAAAGAGGAATGATGATATTCGCTATGCCAAAGAAGATAGAATTCGGGAAACTACTCATCGACCACTGATCATGCCGGACAAGTATGATGGAAGTACCGACTGGAAAGACTACGCCTCGCATTTTGAATCTTGTTGCGAAATCAACAACTGGAAAGATGAGGAATCTGCCAAGTATCTAGCTGCTAGCTTGAGAGGTCAAGCTCTGAGATTACTAGAAGAACAAAGAGGCACCAAGTGGAACTTTGAAGAAATAAAGAGTAAACTGTCATTCAGGTTCTCTTCTGCCAAACAGGCGGAAAGCTATTTGTTGGAACTTAGGAATCGTAAGCGACGTCAAGGAGAATCACTTCAGGAACTAGGACGTCATATTAGGGAACTAACTGATAAGGCATATCCAAACTTTGAAAGTCAAGGGGTCGAACGACTAGCTAGGATTCATTTTACTGATGCTATTCGTAGTAGTGAGATTCGTATGGGAATATTTCATGCTAAGGCAACAAGCTTAGATGAGGTAATTCAAGCAGCAATAACCACTGAGACATTTCTACAGACGGAGACTGAGAGGAATGGATGGAAGGTTAAGCCTACTTACAATAGAGGAATCGGCTCTGAAGTGGATCTAGAGAAGATGATCAAAGATGAAGTCAACAAAGTCCTAGGCCAAGCCATGGAAAGTCAACCTAACAAGGAAAGATGTCAGGGATATGTGAAGAAACCAGGAACTAATCAAAGACCAAGCCAAACAGCGCATGAAGGAAGATTTGTTGTGAAAACCCAAACATGTTTCTATTGTGAGAAACCTGGCCATTTCGCAAGGGAATGCCGTGAGAAACAAATGGATCGAAGAGGAAGGAACTATCCAAGTGGTGAATCTAACTGGTCAAGACAAAGATATCAGCGTCCGTCAAACGACAAGTGGTCGCCCCAAAGGGTTGTGGCGCGGCCAATCGTCCAAAATTAATTGAGACCCAAACTAGCAAAACAAAGACAAGTTTCATACCCAGTATAAATCAAAATGTTGATGGTCTTTATGTTCCAGTGCACATTCAGGACAAGGAATACAAATTTCTAGTTGATACTGGTGCTTCAGATTCTTACATTTCTAGACGATCATATGAACAATTAGATGAAAAAGATAGACCCCCTCTGCAACATCGTAGCATCAGTGCACAATTAGCAGATGGTTCACCATTAGCCATTTATGGAGCAATAACTCATGAGATGAAGATAGGACCAAATAAAGGAGTAATTACAGTTTTGGTAGCAGATGTGAGTAGTGATGGAATCCTCGGTTTGGACAATCTAACAAGAATGGGGGCTAGCATTGATCTGACTAATTTCCAACTCACCACAAAATGGGGCAAAGTAGAGTGCAAGAATGAAAGTGGAGAAAGACTATCCTTCCGCATAACTGCGTCAGAAACTACTACAATCCCCGCAGGACATGAAGCTGTAATACTTGGATCAATGAAGGAAGGAGATCGAATTAAATCTAACACCCTAGGTTTAATAGAGGCTGGAAATGTTCAACAACAATTAGTGAAGAAAGGACTCATTACAGCTAGAACTCTAATCAAGACAGGGAAGGAGTTAGTGCCTGTTAGAGTATTCAACCCATCTACTTCCAACAAAGTAATAAAGAAGAACACACCAATCGCTATGATGACCGTAATAGATACAAGTGAAGTACAAGAAGTCCCCAAGTACACCACTGTTTTTGAGGGATTTGCTAAAGAGAAGTACAGAAGGAATACCAGATCAGTATCGCCAAGACGTGGCAAAGTTATTGACGGAATTTCAGGATGTATTCTCAAGAGGAGATGATGATATTGGAAGGACTAATTTGGTACAACACAAGATAGATACTGGAACTCAGCGACCAATTAGACAACGACCACGCAAGCACCCTTTTGGGCAGAGAGACGAAATCAAGGAGCAAGTGGAAGGGCTACTACAGAAAGGTCTTATTGAACCAACTGATAGTCCATGGGCTTCAAACATTGTACTCGTAAAGAAAAAGGACGGAACTCAGAGATTTTGCGTGGATTATCGGCAACTGAATGCTGCCACGATCAAGGACGCCTACCCCCTACCTCGTATAGACGAAACATTGGATGCTTTGTCAGGAGCGCAGTGGTTTTCAACCCTGGACTTGGCAAGTGGATACTGGCAAGTAGGCTTAAGCAAAGATGCTAAGGAAAAATCAGCTTTCGTAGCTGATGGTGGACTCTACTCATGGAACGTGATGCCTTTTGGACTTTGTAACGCCCCAGCCACTTTTGAGAGATTGATGGATAAAGTACTAACCGGATTGCATTGGGAGACATTACTTGTCTACTTAGATGATTTGATTATCTTTGGTAAATCGATACCAGAGGAACTTTCACGGTTACGTCAAGTATTCTATAGACTACGACAAGCCAACTTAAAGTTAAAACCAAAGAAATGCTTTCTGTTCAGGAAGAAGGTGTCCTATCTCGGACACGAAGTATCAAGCAAGGGAGTCTCAACACAGCCAGAGAAGGTTGAGTCTGTAAAAACATGGCCGACGCCGAAGAATGTGACGGAAGTTAGAAGTTTTCTCGGTCTTGCATCCTACTATAGACGTTTTGTTGAAGGTTTTGCTAGTATAGCCAAACCTCTTCATCAACTCACGGAAAAACGCCGTGCCGGACAGTTCGAATGGAGCTCTGTCTGTCAGGATGCGTTTGAAGAGTTGAAAAGAAGATTGATTACTGCACCTATTCTGGGATACCCGAATACGGAAGGTGCATTCATTCTTGACACAGACGCCAGTAGGGATGGGATTGGAGGAGTGTTGTCACAAGTACAAGATGGAAAGGAAAGAGTAATTGCTTACGGAACTAAAGTGCTAAGTAAGGCAGAACGGAACTACTGCGTTACAAGAAGGGAACTACTCGCAGTTGTCGTTTACTTGAAGCATTTCAGACAATATCTCTACGGTCGACATGTAACGGTGAGAACAGATCACGGAGCTTTAAGGTGGCTAACAAATTTCAAAAACCCTGAAGGACAGCTGGCAAGATGGCTTGAGGTCATCGCAGCTTATGATATAGAGATCATTCACAGGGCTGGTAGAAGTCATGGAAATGCAGATGCATTGTCGAGAAGACCATGTGGCCAGTGTGGAAGAGGACTGGAGTGCGAGTTCAAGGTCAAGGAGGAAGAAACAGCCAAAGCCCGTGTAATAATGATGACAAATGAGAAGAGACTGTCTGAGATGAGGAAAGATCAACTAGACGACCCAAATATAAAGCCTGTGCTAGAGGCTATGGAAATGAAGACCAGACCACCAAAGGAAGAAGTTTCCGCAACGTCTAAGAAAGTTAAAGTCTTGTTAGAGCATTGGGAACAACTTGAAATCAGAGATGGAATACTCTACCGTAGATGGGAATCAATAGATGGCAAAGAAGTGAAGTGGCGACTAGTATTACCTGGAAGGAAAATAGATGAAGTTTTGAAAGAACTTCATGGTAGTGCTTTAGCTGGTCATTTGGGAGCAACTAAGACACTGAAGAGTAGTCAGATGAGATACTAATGGGTAGGAATGAAGGCAGATGTGAGGTCTTTCATCCGTAAATGTGAATCTTGTGCTCGACGGAAGTCAGCTGGTAAGAAGAGGCGAGCACCTCTATAGCAGAGAAGAAGTGGAAGTCCGATGGAACGGATCGCTCTTGATATACTAGGACCTTTGCCAGAAACGAATGACGGAAATAAGTACATAATGGTAGTAGCTGATTACTACACTAAGTTCGTAGAAGCTTATCCCATACCTAATGAGAAAGCAAGTACTGTGGCACCCAAACTAGTTGAAGAGTTTATATGTAGATACGGGGTTCCAACTGACCAAGGAAGGAACTTTGAGTCACAGTTGTTTAAAGAAGTTTGCCAGATCCTGGGAATAAAGAAGACAAGGACGACGGCATATAACCCTAAATCAGACGGTATGATTGAACGCTTCAACAGAACATTGCTCGATATGCTTGTTACGCTAATAGAGCCTGGAAAGAATCAGCGAGATTGGGACAAGTATGTACACATAGCTACAACGGCATACAGAAGTTCAGTTCATGAGACATTAGGAGAAACGCCAAACATGATGATGTTCGGAAGAGAACTGAAAATGCTTTCAGATCAGTACATGATCCAACCAGATATGGAAGTTGGAACAGACTACGTCGAGGAACTACGAGACAGGATGGATACAGTCTATACAAGGATTACTGAGCACAGTCAGAAGAATCTCCGAAGACAGAAGAGAAACTACGACAAGAAGATTACTGGAAGTAGTTACGAAGAAGGAAATTTCGTTTGGTTACGAAATAATCAGAGACACAAAGGCATCAGTCCCAAACTAAGTTACAGATGGAATGGCCCATTCAAGATTAAGACGAAGCTGTCTGATGTGACATACAGAATCCAAAAGAGCCCTGGAACCAAGATGAAGGTTGTACACTTTGACCGTTTGAAACCATGTGAAGGAGACGAGCCTAAGGGATGGAAGACAACTCATACTAGACGGGAAGACGCTGGAAATAATGCCAGAGAGATGGAGTCCAACTCTGAAGAGGTTGATCAAGATTCAACGCCTGACGTGACTGTAAATAGAAGACAAGAAGATACTCGACGCTATCCACTGAGGAATAGAAGACCCGCACATTTCTTTTATTAGAAATGGTTTTGTGGAAATAAAGTTTAGAATAATATTTGTTTTACTTTGGATCTGTTTCCTTCTCCTCTTTCCTTCTCTATAACTTTCTATCTCACTTCTTTCTTTCTTCTATTCAACTCTGTTTTCTCATCTATATCTCTTTCTTATACAGATTCCATTGCTTGTATTGTATATAAATGAACATTATTGACATTGTAACGCCACTGAGTAGATTTAAGAATTAGAATTTATTTGTAACAGGTAATCTAGGGCGATGAAAATTTAAGAATATAAGTGCACGTTCCATGTTGCATAGGAACAAAGAATTGACAAGTTTTGGAAGAAAAGCAGATGTCTTATGTTGTAGATGTATATTTGATTGATGCTGGTGTTGTTAGAGAGATTGTGAGGTAACAGAGAAGGAGAAGAAAAGTGGGCAAAATAAGACAAGCGTTTTCTTCCAAATGTCACCTTCCTTATTGGTAATAATATTGAGTAAAGATATTTTTGGTTTGTATACATGTATATACTTGCAATCGAATTTAGACAAGGTTGCATTGTAACAAGGTTATCGCCCAGGAAAACCTAATGTTTTAAATGCGAGGACGCATTTTGTAAGGAGGAGGGCTGTGTAACGATCCGCTCCGCGGTCGTGACGTAACAAAGAGGCCTAACTTAAATGATTGTTGTTTTCAAGCGCGTCATCATACACCGACGCACAATGTTTACGTTAATAATTTGCATACGAGTGATTGACATTCGGATATTTTATTGAGATGCTTAAAGATGTTAAACTGTAATTGTTCATAAGTATATCACATGAATTTGGATGGAAAGTTGTTTAGGCAATGTAATTTGTTAATATTTACTGCAACTGATGTGTCATTCAGAGTGTTGTATTTAATTAATGGTAAAATAAGAGACTTACTTAGATATTTTGCTCTGAACTAGCACAGTCTTTATGTTAAATCCATTTTCGCTGCGCGCGTACTTTCCAAGATCGCTTAGCGCATCGATTTCCCCCACGTCCGCATTATGCCTTTATAACCCGTAAACATTTCTAAAACGCGAGGAGTTGGAATTGGACGCTCGTCGGAATAAGAACTATTTAGTCTCTCCCTGGAAACCCCCCCCCCCCCCACCTAAGGACTTGTCTTGGAATTGGGCGCTCGTCGGAACTGGTACCACACATAAGATCTCTCTCCCTCCCTGGAATATAAAGGTACACAAGGAAGTCTACGCTGGAATTAAGATGCTGGAATTAATGAACCACTATTATTAAGATGCAGGAATATTCTAAGTCCACCTCTCCCCCTATGATGCTATGGAATTAAACTAAGACGGAAAACTCCCAAGTCCCATAAAACCCAATGAATCATTGTCCTTCACTTTTTACATGTATTCGAATATAATAACGACAATCGTATAAATTTATTAAGTATAACTATGAGCACAAGGTATTTGTGACAGTGGTGATATAAAGATGTAAATATTTGAAGTACATGCATTAATAAAAGTTGACCATTTTCTTTTGCCTTGAAACTGAAATTATGAGTCTATAAACACTTTGTCTTTCTTCTTGACTGGTACTCCTTCATAGTCGTATATTTCGACGAAACGAACGTAAATAAGTATTGTAGCTTCCCCCGTCTTTCCTCAAATATAAGATAAGATCTAATTACTCTAACCGCTCGGACATTTTAAATAATGTCGGCTGACGAATATCCTGACAGATATAAAGAATCAGTTTCCCCAGCTGGGAATGAGAATAAACCCGACGTAGAGGTCGAGGTTGAAGACGGAGGCGGGGGCGGCCGCCACACATGTATCAAATCGAATTCAATTGCCAGAAGACGCACGTAGAGGGCGCTGTTCCACGGCGACTATCCGGCTGTTTCTGGTGTGTGTTTTTCGTTCATTTTTTTGTGTTTTTCATCGTCTTCGTTGTCATTCTCGCTATAGTTTTGTGACTTACGTCGTCTTCTGTGTCAACCCACCCGAACCTTATCAATAGTTATGGAGAGGAAACCAAGAATTCGTCTCTTTTTCGTGTTACTGTTTCTGGGCTTGTCCGTCACACATATACATGGAAGTCCGATACTAACGACAACGTACGAGAAGGGGGTGAATATGGAGCGGCAATACCCGGTCAACACACGGATAGCTTATGGACGAGACCAACTACTAGACCTGGCGTCCAGACATGCATCTAAAGCTAAACCAGAGTGTGAAATACCAGCTGATCTCAGGAAACGAAAGCGAGGAAAGAAAGGGGGTGTTCGGGAGCGTTTGAGAAGAAGAAAATACAACTCACCATTGCCGTCTGTGATCACCGGAAACTGCCGGTCACTCAGAAACAAAGACGAATTGCAGTCATGGGTGAGTTATAGAAGTGAATGCCGTGATTGCAATATAATGTGTTTCAGTGAAACTTGGTTCAACAGTAGTGATACTGAGCAGAATACAGCTATAAATGGGTTTACATGCGTGAGAATGGATCGTACCCTGGCATCAGGCAAAGAGCGTGGTGGAGGTGTCTGTGCCTATATCAACAACCGCTGGTGTGAAGATAGCAATGTTAGTGTCAAAGCTCAAATGTGCACTGAAGATATTGAATTGCTGAGCATTGGAGTTAGACCTTACTACTTACCTAGAGAGTTTACGCAAATTTTTTTCACCATTGTGTACATACAACCCAGATCTAATGTCACTGCCGCAGCCACAGCAATATCAGAAGTGGTACAGCGACTGGAGACGAAATCACCAGATGCAGTTCAGATGATCATAGGGGACTTCAACACTTGCGAGTTAAACACGTCGTTACCCCAGTACTTCCAGTACATCGATATCCCAACTAGAGGTGAGCGGACGCTAGACAAGTGCTACGGTAATGTCCACAACGCTTATAAAGCTGTCACGAGACCTCCGATTGGAAACTCAGATCATAACATCGTTGAATTGATACCGAAGTACAAACAAAAACTTAAAAGATTCAAAACCACCGAGGTAAACATGAAACAGTGGAATGAAGCAAATACTGCTGCATTGCAAGCCTGTTTAGAATGCACGGACTGGGAGGTATTAGTCGAACAGTCGCTTGATAATACTACTGAAGTAGTGAGTTCTTATATAAGATTCTGTGAAGATATGTTAATACCTGAGAAATGTATTAAGATGTTCCCAAACAACAAACCATGGATAGATAAAACATGTAAGTCGTTCTTGGTAGACAAATTGAATGCCCATAACAGAAATGATATTGAGCAAAGGAAAGAAGTTCAGAGAGAGTTAAAAAAGTACATATGTAAGAGGAAGAGAGAGTACGGGTCTAAGATGGAACATAGCTTAGGTACAGGAGACTCTAAGAAAGCATGGGGAAGTTTTAGGAAAATTACAGGGTATCAAAAGAAAAATACTCTCGCTTCTGTTGTAAACCCCAAGTTGTTTGTCGAGAATTTGAATAACTTTTTTCACGTTTTGATGTAGAAGTGAACAGGAATATGATGGAGTTGTCAAACATTAAGGAGGAAATTTTATCACATGTTACAGAAGACAATAGAGTAGTCATCAATGAACAGGATGTTAGGAAGGCGTTATACTCTGTTAAGTGTAGTAAAGCTATGGGTCCTGATGGATTAGGTGGTAAAGTTTTAAAGTCGTGTTGTCAGCAGCTGTCAGAGGTTTTTCACATGCTTTTTCAGTGGTCAATGGATATCCATTCAGTCCCATTGCTTTGGAAATCAGCCATTATTTCACCAGTACCAAAAATATCAAAACCAAAAGATTTGAATGATTACCGACCTATAGCATTAACACCAATAATCATGACATGTTTTGAACGTGTCGTTAAAGGTATCTTGATGGAGGAAACAAAGGCATTTACTGACCCTCTGCAGTTTGCCTATCAAAAGAATAGGGGGAGTTGATGATGCTGTTGCTGTTTTGTCACATACAATTTTAAGTCACCTTGAGAAACCCAAGACATATGTAAGAGTGTTATTCATTGATTTCTCCTCTGCTTTCAATACGGTTGTGCCCCATATACTTATTAATAAGCTGTATCATGACATGAATATTAACCCAAACCTGTTGCTTTGGATAGGTGACTTCATGTCAAACAGGTCCCAGAAAGTGAAGTGTAAAGATATTCTCTCACAAACAAGGATCTTAAACACAGGTACTCCGCAAGGTTGTGTCCTCTCGCCCACATTATTCACATTATTCACAAGTGAAGTAGAAGACCAGACAAACTCCTGTTGGAAAGTTGTGAAATATGCAGACGACACTTGCATAATTGGTTTAATTACAGATAGGAATGAGAACATGTATAGAACCAAGGTGGACGACTTTGTTATGTGGTGTAAACAAATGTCACTGATCCTTAATATTAAGAAAACGAAAGAAATGATTGTGGATTTCAGGAAAAAGGATAATGTCATTTTGCCGTTGGCTATTGATCAAGATGATATAGAGATGGTTTCAAACTACAAATATCTAGGAACCCACATTGACAAGGATTTCAGTTGGAACACCAATACTCAAACCATTGTGTCAAAAGTTAACCAAAGGTTATACCTCCTAAGGAAATTGAAAACATTCAATATCAGAAGGGAGACTCTTCTCTTCTTCTATGATAGCATCATCAAACCAATTATCTCCTTCTCCTGTCTTGTCTGGTTCTTTGGTCTCACCTCTCAAAATAAAATGAAACTCATGAGGGTAATGAAAACTGCAAGTAAGGCAATTGGCTTACCGGTTAAACAACTTGAAGAAATAGCTGAATCAGCTGTAATCGATAAGTTCAATAGTATCATTGAGGATGAAACTCATCCTCTACATAGACATATTTTTTTCAATAAATCAGGACGGGTCAGGCTTCCAAAAGCCAAAACAAATAGATTCAGGGGGTCATTTCTCATACGTGCCATGACACTATACAACGACAGGTTCAGGAGGTAATTGTTAATTATTTATTATTAGTTACAGAATCAGTTATTAAGGATATATGGATGTACTGCATA